CAAGTCGGCATAGTCTGTGTGGACCCCACACGCCCACACCCAAGTCGGCATAGTCTGTGTGGACCCTGGCGCGTCCCAGAACGGCACAGCATGGTACATGAAGGAGACATTGTGGAATCTTCCTAAAGATGAACTACTTGGAACAAAAGGAGGCAGGGACATAAGACACTGCAACAAGTGCTGTGTACTCTACCTCCTAATTGCTGTCCATTTACTCTTAAAAATAACTCTTAAAAGTGGCCCGTGAATGATCCCGTTTCTTACACCAGTCTCCTGCTGTACACTTTGAACAGTTGTATTTCTGGAAAAACTTTAATGTTACTTTTTCCAATAAAAAATATTCACAGGACTCACACAAACTAATATTGCCTCTAACTAAATAATTTCTTCGCAACTTATGCTAGCGCCTTTAGCCATACCATTTAAAATCACTGTGAAACTGAAAACAAATCCCATATGAACCCAGGTAAGACTAAAGCATTGAACCCCAACTCTGGTTTGGTTTAACTACAGACATGGGGGACTCTACCTCACACTGGACTGATGGCGGTCTAGAGGTAAGGAGCCCTGGTGTCACAATGGTTACAGTGCTCTGCTGTAAGCAGATAGATCAGAGATTCAAATCCAGCGGCTGCTCTGCAACTCACTGGCAGTGGGTTTTACCCCCACGGTCCAAACAGAAAAAAGCAATCACTTCACAGTAGTAGTCATAAAACCAACCCCACCCTCCACTCACAGCTGCTGCAGGCACCTATTTCGACTCACAACAGCCCTCTAGGACTAGAGGGTAGAGCTGCTCTAATAGGGTGACTCAGGGCTGTCATTTTTGCAGAAGCAGGAGCCACAGCTTTCTCCCGTGGAGTGGATTCAACCTGTAGACCTTATAGTCAGCAGCTCAAATGTTTAATATCCTACACCACTGGGAGTCCTTAAACCAGCCCTAGAGAAGCCATCACGTTAGCCTGAAAATGTAACACAAATGGTCTCAAAGTCTAATGACCCGTCCTGAGTGCGGATGTTTATGCAGCAGTCTCCGAGGACCGCCTCCATTTCCTTACCCTTCATTCGCCCTTCAATGCAGCTGGCGGGCCAGCATGGCCCTGAACATCTCACGGAAAGCTCTCCCCAGGGACCCCCACAGCCAGCCGAGTGCACACTGGCTGGGCCTTTTCTTCTCTTCTCACCAGCCTCTGACAGGATTTTTCTTCATCCTCTTGGATCATGAGACCCTCCCTTTTCCACTTCCCTTTTGGGGGGGGGGGCGGGCTTCACGCAGTCTTAACCCAGATGACGAGACTATCTCTATACAGGGCCACAGAGTAAACGCACTAGGCTTTGAGAGGCTATTTGGTGTTCATTGTAACCACTGGTAGGGCACAAAAGCAGGTAGATGGTTTGCGAATGAATGAATGCGTTTTCCGATGAAACTTTCCCTGTGGACACTGAAATACGAAGAAGTTCATACCATGTCTGTATGTCATGAAATCCCGTTCCTCATTTGTCCCCTAACCACTTAAAAGTGTGGAAAGTGCTCTTAGTTCACGGGCAGTACAAAACAGATGTGGGTTAAGGGTCACACAGCTGCCTATCCTGCTGTTGCCGAGCCCTTTAATCAGAGCTGCAAAAACAGCAGGTGAATGTGGCCTGCTTTTCGGTGGACTATGCACCGTTCACACACTTCAGTTTACTTGAGGGACTTAGTCCCCAGGTCCTGACTATCATTTTGGCTCAAATTTTTCATCACGTCCAACCCTGACTTCTCTCACCCTGTCCCTCACCTCAAGCTTGCTTCTTAGCAACCCCCGATTTTATTTCCTCACTCAAAGAATGACATCATCACCCAAGTAGCTAGTCATGTCAGGAATCTGGAAGGTGTCTGACATGTCACATGTCACCGTTTCCCTCACACTATTATCCCAGCCACATGAAGTTCTGTGGCATCGAAGACTCTCTCCAGTCTAGCCCCTCCTCTCCACCCACACTGCTCCTAAGCAGACTCCAGTCCTGCTGTCTCCCTTCGAGGCACGCCCACCCGTGTGAGTCACAAGTCTCCACATACCTCACTCTAGAGCAGTGGTTCTCAACCTTCCTACCGCCGCGACCCTTTCAGACAGTTCCTCGTGTGGTGGGGACCCCACCCAGAACACTGTCATTGCTGCTTCATAACTGACATTTTGCTAGTTCTGAATTGTCATGTAAATATCTGATATGCAGGATGTATTTTCATTGTTATAAAGTGAACATAATTAAATATAATTAAAGCACAGTGATTAATCACAAAACAGTATTTAATTATATCTTGTGAAATATTTATGTGTTTTCCGATGGTCTTAGGTAACCTCTGTGAAAGGGTGGTTCGATCCGCAAAGGGGTCGCGACCCACAGGTTGAGAATCGCTGCTCTATAGGCAGGCAGTTTTACCGTGGTATGCCAGGGCTATATCCGAAACACAGGATGAAACAGTAACAACAAAACAATTAAAGACATTAGAGTACACTCATGGTGATCCCAAGCACTGAACGCTGACTGGAACCTGCTTTCTGGAAGAGGCACAAAGGGCCGGCAGAGTTGTAGCCAATGTACAGGTCCAGCCCAGGGACCCCGGTATGCTGATGTACCGGTAGGCGCTGCTCCTCAGCTGGGGCTCAGAATTGTTGCATTAACAACATTTTATTTGAAAAATTTAGCTTTTCCTGATTCTTCTAGCTCAATGGTGGCCCTCTTGTGGCCAGAACAATTCTCGGTGCCAAAACACACAGGGACTATGTTTTCCTGAGGGTCTGTCTGGCGTTGGGCTCTAGAGCCCTGGCCATGGTGAACACAATTACCTGAGCTCTGGAGGCATCTCTTTTCTGGTTAAACACCTCCCGCTTTTTATCCTTTCCAGAGGGGACGTGACCCGTCTCCTCATAGTCTGTGGAAGCTGACCTCTGCTCCCGTCCACAGTGTCATACCCGCTGTGGGAATGGCAAAATTCCCTCCCCACATACTCTCTATTACTGCAGCTTCAAGTCCCATTCACTTTTTAGACATCATTTACGTTATCCTGCAGACTCCCATGCACGCACCAGACTGCTAACCACCACCGCTCTGCACGCTGTTTGCTCCGACGAAGACTCACAGTCTCGGGCACCCGAATAGGGTCGCTATGCGTCGGAGCGGGCTCAATGGCAGTGGCTCTGACTCCCATGACGCCAGTCGTCACCCCCACGCCTTTTTAACACAGCTCGATGGCTCCGTCCAGTTCCCCCACTGTAGTTCTGCACTGACTTATTCTTCATGCCTATGTACCTGGTCCCTTTCCATTCTAACCCTGGTATCCAACAAAGGGAAGCAGTCCCTTATGAGCAGCCACCTGGGCAGTAGGCCTGGCTCTAGCCCGGGTCTTCACAAGCCGCCACTTGAAAGCCCTGTTTTGTTCTTCTCTCTAGAAATCGCACCGCTTTTTTAAAGCAAGCACATAAAAGAAATCTACTTGTTCGCTGAAAGACAGGGAAATCTCACGTGAGCTCTCTACACAGCCGCGACGTGGCACCAGCAGCCTTCCTGTTCTTCTTAAGGGTCTCCTGGGGGAAGGGCTCGATTCCAAGCTAAACGGCAACCCTCAGGAAGCCTTCTCTTTGGGAGCAGGACTGGACCCAGCGAGTTCAGCAGAGGGGACAGAAGGAGGAGGAGAATTAAGAGTCCCAATCAGGCTCTTGGGGACAAATATGTGGCTTTAAAACTGGGCCCAAGACAAGAAAGGTCTGAGCCTCCCTCTAAGAGCCTAGAATGCTCCATTTTTGTTTTTACGTCCTGTCTGCTCCCTGGTGCGAACAATTAAATGTCTTAAGAGAACCTAAATCGGTTCTCAACTTATTTTACGAGAGTTTTACTTTATATGACCTCACTTATATGGAAGACAGGAAAAGACAACGTCTAAAGTCCAAAGTCTGTGGTCAGCAGGGGCAGGTGAGAGGGGCTCAGGGTCAAGGGAAAAGCACAGTGATTGAGTGCCGGCTTGCATCGTCCATTATTATAACTGCTGTCAGTATTTGTACACCTGTGAAAAAGTGAACTGGCCAACGCTGTGACATATACACATTCACAACAAGAACCGTGCTAGAACAAAACAAACCAGAAAACAGCCAACAGAATAGTTTGTCATGACTGCTGTGCTTATGTACAACCCCAAGCCTTATGTGACTGGGTTCTGTAGCTTGGAGGTTTAAGGATCATGGTTTTCAAGGGACATCCTAGTTAACTGACCCAAGATAGTGCTCACAGCTTCTATTTGGCGTGGATTTTTAAAACTTATCAATGGTCTTCCAAGGCACAGCAACTGGTCTCTATGTGCCTGGAACAACAAAGGAAGAATAATCCAGAATTGGAGGACATGTAATGTGTGGCTAATTAGTGTCCATAAGGCTACAAGAACTGGATTGTGCTCAACTATCATGATTCCATAGAAGAATCTGGATCAAAAGTAGAGATAATGCAGAACAGAATTTCAAATTCTTGTGGACTCCAAGACTCTCTGGAGCCAGGGGCGCTTGTATGTACCCCTGAAAGCTACTGCTCTGAGGATACCATCTGGAAACCTTAAACCAACACTATGCCCTAAAGTCTTCCTAAAAACCAAACAAGAGACGGGCTGCATCATTAGTAAAAATTTGTCTGCTTTAAGTACCTTGTGCTCTTTGAAGAACTATTTACAGGGGATCAAAGTTACAACAGCACCTCTGAAGCGCAGTGGGTTTATGTTAAAGGGGACGAACGACTGAGAGAGAGAGAGAGAGAGAGAGACAGGCTGCACAACCGGGAGAAATCAATGTCCCTGGATTATACACCGAGACATGACTGGACTGATGGATGTTCGCTGTGTATAGCCTCTCAACAACATCAACAACAATTTTAAGGAATTATTTTACTTTATTTTTATCTGTTTGATTAGGAAGGATGTGGAAACTGTGAAGTGTATCCCAGTCTATGGTTGCGATGAAAAAGATGCGAACTGGAGGCAAAATTCTGCACTGAGTATGAAAAACGGTTGGCCATTTCTATGATGTTGGCAGAGGAAAGAGGAATTTGTTCCTCAGAACTGATTTGGTACCCTTCCCCACCCTCACCCCAAACAACACAAAACAAAACTGAGAAAAAATGTTTAATGGAACTTCAGTTTTCCAGTAGAAACACTAGTTACCACACTGAGCACAGAGCAGCTACTTCTACAGCACAACCAGCCCTCGGCTTTGGAGAAGCAGATTTGTTGCCAACCAAAGAGCCCCACCACCATGTTCCAGCAACCACAGAGCCGGATTTTCCAGGAAAATGCCAACTTTCTCATCTGTTGTCCCCCAAAATCATCAAAAATCCCTATAAATATAAATACGAATGTGCCCAAATCCTTTCCTGGATCGTATGCTGGGTTAGAAAGTATGTACACGGTACCACTATGATAACACTATTCCTATGGTCAAACTTAATTTCTGTTTCAAACCGGTAGTTTCCAAAGACACTTTCAAAATAAAGACTCTTTATTGGCTAGACATTGGCTGGATGCACAAGGGGAAAATACGATTTTTCTCTAACTGATGAAGATAATTCCAACTAATAATGGTTCCTCTCAGTTTGTTTGATAAATCATTACAAAGTCCCAGATGATATTTTCCTTTGAAATACCTTTTAATTAGAAAGACATCACAATAATGTCTCATCACCTGAACAGCTGCTTTATACATAAGCCTGTTTCCTAAGGAACTGGCTTTATTAAACTTCCATCCTTGTTTTCCATGGCCTGGTAGTCCCCCCCAAAAAAACAAAACAAAACAAGGAAGAGTCATTAGAAGGCCCCCCGTTAAGCCTGGACCTGTTCTATCAATCACCTTTAAATTCCTCCAAGCTATCACAGGAACACCTGATTCTCTGCATCCAAGGCAGCGGTTCTCAACAGCAGGACCGAGGAACTGCCTATGGAGCTGATCTAAACATAAGGGAGTGTGAAGAAAAGGGTCCAGCTTCCCAAGAACTTTCCTTATATGTCTGCACCGTGACCAGTTTGAGAGGGGAGCAGGCTTGTGTGTTCTGACAAGTCTCTACAAGAGGACACGGCATGCCTAGCAGGCAAGGGCAGGAGCTGGCACACTGCTCTCACGACAGTTCTCAAGCGGAACTGACTGAAAGGACGATCTTCAGCAGACGTACGAGAAAAGGGCCTCAAAGGACCAGGAGCGGGGAGCTGAGAAAGACTCCAGGGAACCCACGCTGCTCCGAGCACGTCACTATTGCGTAACCGCGCGAACCCACTCAACGCTTAGCATCTTTCTGAAAACCACACTCCAAGTTCAGAAGGTAGAGTGGCCATCCTAGTATGTTCCATTTTCAGACTCAATGCCATGGATCAAAGTGGTTGGCAGGCAACTGCTATGCTCCAGCTGCAAGCCAGGAGCTCAGGTTTGACTTTTGTTGTTCTAAGATATGTTTCAGATAAATTCCGTTCAGAACTATGACCTACATACTTGCCAATCGAGGGATTATTTTATTTAATCCCTTTACCTCCTAAAAAATTTCAGGTCAACCGTAAGTACTTCCAATCTGTTGTTACTGCTCTCAGTGAAGGCAAACGTCTGACCTTAATTACTCTACACCCACCCTCTCTTTCCCAGTGGACTGGATGGAAGCTGAGTCAGCAGCGGTGTGAAATCTAAACACAAGAGATTCTAAACACTCCTAAAATGAAAGAAAGAGAAAACTGCTTACCTTTGGTTTTTTGTTCCGTGACCTGCAAAATAAAACGAAGAGATGTAAGTAAATGAGACTGGCTTTCCACTTCAGTACTGTAAGACTGCCTTGACTTTGACAACGCAAGCACAGTTCAAACACTGTCAGATATCCCGGGACCTAGTTAAAATCCGGAACAGGAAACACAGGCGTTTGTTCAGACATCCATCTGGAGACGACCACCAGCTACAACCTGCAACTGGAAGGATCCTACACGTGAAACTGAAAGCATTCCCTCTTATTCAATCCTGAGGTCCCTGTACTGGGAATGCTGGATGCCATCTCGATGGCCGGGCCTAGAGAAAAGCACATGGATTTGGCCCTGGAATGAAATCAACCACAGAGAAAAAAAGAGCCCCCGATGAGTATGCACTCAAACGCTAGCTCTCCACTCTAGAAAGTAACAAGGCTTGAGGCTTGGCACAGAGCTGGGGGGTGGACAGCATCATGAGGGACCCCACAAAGTCACGGCCAGAGAACAGGACTCCAGACCCTAACAGAGCCTGGCTTTTCCTGCTTGTCTGCCTGTCTGATCGGTCTTCTCTTGACCTGTTGAGTGGCAATGACAATATTATCTCCCTATAAAGGATGGCTATGCAGATTAAATCAGATAGCCCAGGTCAATGTTCAAGAAACCTTTACTGTTCTTATCAATGTTTATAAAAAGAAACTTGACATACACAAATAAGGTGGAGAGGTCTAAATTCTGAACAAACATTGCTTTGTTACTAGTGTTTCTTTTATAGTAACTTGTAACTATGGTAGCGATTAACCTAAAAGGTTACACAGGGGTATACAATAATAATGGGCTTTGGGAGAGAATGGACATGATGAATAGAAGCCACATGGAAATCTGCTTCTGATTAAAAAAATAAAATAAAACAGGAAAAGGAGAGCACCAAGCCATACAAACTGTCCTACGGAAACAACGCACAAAGCCTGCACATGAAACCACCCAAAACAAAGGCCCCAGCCTTCCAGGAGTGTTACTGTCACACTTCAGAGTGCCCGCCTCTTGGAATCCCCTTTTCCCAACTATGGATCCTCCCAAACAATTGGTACTGGTCCTCTTATTCTTGTACTGTGACAACACATCTAGGGAAGGGCTGTGACTGTGGCTGGGAGTCATACGAAGCTGCCACGATGAGTGATTATGAACGCACGCCCCATCTGTGGAGGGTCTGTCCTGTGGTTAACCAGCCACCTCACAAGGTAGCCTGGCACATGCACTGTCAGTCACTCACTCCGAGTTACACATCCAACCTCCTGCATTAGAGGAAGAGCTAACTCGGTGGTGTCCCTGTGTCGGATACACGCTTAAAACGAATGAAGTGTTTTCTCGTATGAATTGTTACCGATCCTAGCTCAACTGGAAAACACTTCATAATTTTTCTATAACCCCACTTGTCCAAGAACGAATGGCTGTGTATCTACAAACTAAGGCCTTCAGGTAAAGCTTTCTTAAGATTGCTATTCTGAAGATCCAGCAAAGCAGGACGCCCTGGCTTCCTCAGCGGTGAGCCAAGCACCCAAACCATGTCAGATGGGTCTGTCCCCCAGCCAGTGAACTCAAGTGGTCTGCCAACACTAAGCAAGGCCCCTTGGGGGCACATCAGCCTAAGGACTGTGAATGGAGCCCAGCTTTCCACGCCTTTCTCCTGAATGGAAACCTGACAGGACTGTCCCCGAGGGCTCCAGAGGAGGCACAGTCATAGCTACTGCTTACACTGGAGAGCTCGAGAGTAATTTCTGCGTGGAAATCGACATAAGCTTTAGATAAAAGTCAATTCTTTAAGACAAGTATGTTCTCATCACTCATTCATGGCCACTTATTCATTCAGCAAATCTTTCTTGAGAGCCTACGATGCACTGGACTCTGCCCAGCTAACGAATTATGCAAAACGCCATGAAGCTCACAGTCAGAGAGGACAGAGACACAGAGATGACGACAGGGTGACTGGTATGCGGCACTGAGAAGAAGAGCAACCACAAGCTGCATCACAGAGCTGCTGGCACATTCTATGCCTCGCCTCACTGACACACTGTCTCTACAGTAAGGCTGAAAACCCTTACGACAATCACGTGGCCAGCTCTGAACTCTCCCCTTGCTGCTGCTCAATCAGAATTTAATTCTGAAATTATGCAACGGTCCAGTGTCATAAAACACTATCAGAGGTCACGTGTTGTGCCTGTGTCAGCCAGACCATGCCTCAGCCAGTCTAAATATTTTGGAACAACCCCCCCTGAGGTTTTACTGCTCATATTAAACCACTTGGCTATTTCATAGATGGTGATTTTCCTCTTTGCTGTCACTTTCTGACCAATTCTTCATGCCAAACAACCTAGCACCCAGACACTGTGCCGCCGCAAAAGCAACATTCTCAACATAAATAGGCCAATTCACTCTAGAACAGCGGTTTTCAACCTATGGGTCCCGAGCCCTTTGGGGATCAAACAACCCTTTCACAAGGGTTGCCCCATTCATAGCAGTAGCAAAATGACAGTGATGAAGTAGCCAGGGAAATAATGCTATGGTTGGGGGTCCCCACCACATGAGGAACTGTATGAAAGGGTCATGGCATAAGGAAGGTGGAGAACCCCTGTCCTAGAGCATACCCAATACCATCTTTCACTTTTCTCTTAGTGGGACTCACAATGTTCAAATGTTCACGGGGCTGTCCAGAAAGTTCTGGGAGATATCCCCTTCTCTTGTAATCCCGTTTTCCCAAGAATCTTCTGAAGTGGGTCGTTTGACCTTTTCCAGTTAGTGACGGTTTTCATTTAAAGACCACACGGTTATCTGTGTTAAGAATGACGACAGAGTGTGGTTTGCCTAAAACAACCGCTCTGTGCCGCCACTTTCTTGTCAACGGCCTGTGCGCAAGTCCCTGGAGCCCAGCTTCTTCACAATCCACTTCTGGCAGAGGCAAGATCCAACCTTGGTCTGAATTTCGTGGGGGAAAGCCTTCACCAAGGCCTACCCTAACTCAATCACGCTGGAGAGGTCAGTGTGTGCAACAAGGGACCAGAGCCCAGAAGCCCCCAGGGCCAAGGCCATGGGTCAGGCACGCCCCACAGCTGGTGGCCTACCGTCTCAATGACACTGAAGGTAGTGGCATCCTGTAGAGGATGCACAAAGCCGCCTCTGAGCTGTGACTTGACTTCTTTACTCAAACTCCTTACTGTCATTTTTGAGCACTCTAACAAGCTCAGGTAACAGATTAGAAACAACACATTAGAAGCAGAGACTTTGGTATTAGGGAGATGTGCGTGAGAGCACACCACTATTAATAGCAACAGAAACACAATTAAAAGCAGACAAGATCTTAAAGAGCACAGCAGTCTATTAGAGCACCCTGCAATAATGAATAGTCCTTTTAATTAAGGCAGGAAGAAAGGTAAAATTACATTTCATATGTTAAACATGGTAGGGTTGTATGCAACCTAATTCAGAAAACACTTCCTGGATTTAAAAAATATATATGCTGGTACTCATAAATGATTTATTTCAATAACTCAGAAAGCCAGATGGGAAACTATATTCAATCAAGCTGGAAGCATCTGCGGTGTTTCCTTTACCTTGTGTTGACTCACATTTCATTAACTGTCTGGATTCTATTCAAAATCTAGTGTTTCCTTGAATTTAACCAATTCCACCTCTCTAAACGAAGATGCCATAACCTAGCATCATGGCAGGGACCCTTCAAGGCTGCCTCACAGCCAGGCCCTACTTCCCAGGTGCTGCAGGGAATGGCACTAAGTACAGGAGTCAAACTGCCGGGCCACCCAAAAAGCCCCATGGCAGCCCTATCCAGGCAGAGTGGGGAAGTGGAGGAACAAGTGAGATCAGAGGTAAAGGGACCTGTTCT